TCCCAGACTCTAAATCCTAGGCCAAGCACCCCGCTGAAATTGCCACAGGAGATCCCCTGGCTTTCGCCTCAGGGCGATTCCAATCTTCCAGGCTAGCTCTGGGGGTGGAGCCAGAAGCCTCTGCTCCTTTGTCCTCCGGGTGGGGCTGGGGGGCCTGGGCGGGGCGGGGGGCTTTGTCTGCCGGCACGCTGAGCCCGCTGGAGTGAGGAAATTAAGTTCCCTCTGTGTCTCGATCACCCAAAACACGAACTCGAGGTCACATCTGCCAGTTTTTAGCGCCTTGCCTTCCCTCTAGAGTTCCAGCCAGCTAGGAGCATGGACGTCGGTGCCTGTGCGCCTCCTCAGGGCTCCAGGCCCACCTTCAGGGTAATGGCTGCAGGCGCGCAGCCTCTCCCAGCCAACCAGGGGCCAGCACAAAGAAGCAAATCGGAGCGCAGCCCCTCCTGGGCGACTTGGAGCGTGGAGGGGCCTGACGAGCAGGTATTTTGTGCGCAAAGATTTTCTACGCCCCAAGCGGAGGTTTTTCTGTTTCAGACTCTCTTTTTCCCCTCTCAGTCCCCACAGAGGGGGTGGCCCGTCTCTCCAGTCTCCAATCCAGGCCTGATTTTTACTTCCCCAGTTCGCACTCACGTTAGAAGGCTTTCTCAGTGGAGTCTGTGTCCTTTCTTTCCCAATCTCTTGGGTGTGGTACGGTTTCTGATGGCTTCAGATCTTTTCCGTGTGATTCCTGGGCGCGAGTGCAGGTACGGAGCTCCCTACTTCTCCGCCATCTTGCCCCTCCCCCCCCACTTCAATCTTATAATTAGGAAAGGGCTAGAGTTAATGATCTTTTTTTTTTCATTTAAAATAGGGAGTTCTCCTTCAGAGTGAAAACAATTGTCTTCTTGCTTGATCTAGAATATTTTTTCTCTTGTATAATGAAATGACATTCTCAATAATAATTTTGATGTAATATGCCTATTTTGCCATAAGTAATAGCCTTTTGACTGATTTCCTAATGCAATATTATGGTGTGGGATAGTGGACCAACAATTGAGGAAGGTATGACTGCTAAATAGAAAAGATTGACCAGTTTCACGGTGTGGCCAACTTTGGTTTTTCCTTTTGTTCTATTAAAATGTGCAATAGTTCATAGTGAAGACAGTGTATCAAGATTTGTTTTAGATGGTAGAACAAAAACAGAGATAACTCTTTTGCATTACGGTATGTAAACCATGTTATCATATAGGTAGAGGATGATCTTTCATGTATTTGGATACTTACTAGATTTTAGTTTTTTCATATAAAAACCTTGTAAGTAACATCTTCCAAATTATGAGTCTTTTTAACTAAATACCCTTAGAAAAAAATTTTTAATGTGTATTTATTTTTGAGAGAGAGAGAGAGAGAGAGAGAGAGAGAGAGAGTGAGAGAGTGAGAGAGAGTGAGCGCACTCAGGGGAGGGGCAATGACAGAATCCAAAGCAGCTCTAGACTCGGAGCTGTCAGCAGAGCCCAAAGTGGGACTCGAACTCATGGAACACGAGATCATGACCTGGATGCTTACCGACTAATCCACCTAAGGTCCTCTAACTAAATATACTTTTTAAATTTATTTGCAATTTACCTAGTTCTTCACATGATTCCAATCCTTTGAAATTGGTTGTCTTTCTTATGACCCACATCAGGTTTTATATTGGTAAATGCTCCATGCGTACTTGAAAAAAAAAAAAGTATTATGTTGTTGTTGGAAGTGTTCTGTCTATTCCAGTTAGGTCAAGTTTCCTTATTGGGTTGTTCAGGTCTTCATCTTTACTTATTTCTTTTTTTTCCTGGGTGTTCTATCAGAAATTGAGAGGGATATGTTAATGTCTCCAATTATGACTGATGAAAACCCATTGCAGCAGGGGCAATGGGAGTTTTAAAAGTAAAATCTAACCCTGAGGGAGAGAGAGTAATACCTGCCAGGCACAGAACTACAGGTGTGGACGCCTGTAAAGGCCATACCGCCAAGACCCACTGAAAGAAAATGCACACCTGCTTTGGCCTTCCCATCCCCTCACCAGGATAACAAGTTCTGGGGAAAAGTTACAATGGAATACAGCTGTGGGATGGGCAGGACACAGACTCTGAGGTGCAGTGCAAAAAGGGAAAACCTAAAGCTGAGAGTGGAGCTAAAATTTAGAGTAACCGCCAAACACCTAAAAATAAGATATTGTTAGAACAATATCACTTATTATTATCATTATTCTAGGATGCCCATTTGTTCCTGTGCTCTTAAAAATTATCAGTCTTCTAACTATTTCTTTGAATACAACACAGTTAGTGTTAAATTCATAAGTGGTGACTCTTCAGTCTATTTCTCTTGATTTTTGTTCGTTGTGTCATCTTGTCTTATTGTAGAACCCATTCTTTTTTGATGGGTTCCAAACAGTATATATTTATAAGTTAGAAGGGACTTGAGGCTTAGGATGATGATATCTTATTCAAAAATATATTAAATTAGTTCTCTCGAGGAGACAGAGAAAGTAATAGATCTAGAACAGCTTAATCTTACTGGGGATTTTGGGGCACATGGATGGCATCTGACTTTGTTTGGTTCAGGCCATGATCTCATGGTGCATGAGTTCAAGTCCTGCACTGGGCTCTCCGCTGTCAGCACAGATCCTCTGTCCTTGGACCCTCTGCCTGCTTCTCTCCCTGCCCCTACCCTGCTTGTGCGTGTGCTCTCTCTCTCTCAAATAAACATTTAACAAAATCGCGCTGGGGATTTGGATCATGTACCACTAGACTTCCCACCCTGTATGTTCAGGTTCATTTACAATTCATATTTTTTCTGATAATATAACCTTTTATGGTTCTTGCTCAGAACATAGTTATTTATGAATTTGCCCCTTCTTATCAGATCCTGAATACATTTTTTTTCTTTTAAAGAATTGGCAGAAGCCTTTGAGCCAGGCATACCTGCCTGAATTTTCTTCCTTCCCTGAGTATTAGCCCCTTAGTTCTGCACTGTCTTTTAATTATTTCTGTTAACTCACAGTTTGAAGGTCAGTCTTAATTTCTTAGTCTGTCATTGGTGGTCTAAATATAGTTTTATTTACATTTCCAATATTATGAGTAAGAATAAGCATTTTGCAATAGGTTAACATTCCATGTGCATTTATTTTCTTATGGATTATCTTTTTATATTTTTTTCCTCCAAGGTTTTATTTAAATTCAAGTTAGTTAACATATAGTGTAATATTGGTTTCAGAAATAGAATTTAGTGATTCATTACTTACATATAACACCCTGTGCTCATCCCAACAAGTGCTCTCCTTAATGCCCATCACCCATATGGCCCATCCCTCCACCCATCCCTCCAGCAATCCTCAGTTTGTCCTCCATAGTTATGAGTTATGAGTCTGTTATGGTTTGCCTCCCTCTTTGTTTTGATTTGATTTTTCTTTCCCTTCCTTTCCCTTATGTATTCTTACTGATGATTATATTGAGGGTGTGTGTTTTGGCAAAAATACCACTGAAATGTACCCTTCTCTGTGTATTGTATCTGAAAGGAATTGATGTTGATAGTCTTCTTACTGATGTTAATTTTTATCAGGTTATTTAAGATAGTGTCAGCCAAGTTTCTCACCGATGAAGTTACTATTTTCTCTTTGGAATTAATAATTGGGGGAGATACTTTGAAGCCATGGAAATATGATCCCCCTCCTCAAACATCCACTTATTAATATTAGCACCTTTCTTTTAGGTGCTATAACAGAAATACCACAGAATGGTGGCTTACAAACAACTGAACTTTATTTCTCATGGTTTTAAAGGCTGCAAGTCCAAGATCAAAGTGCCAGCATGGTTACATTCTGGTGAAGGCTCATTTCTGCGTTGCAGAATGCCCACTTCTCACTGCATCCTCACACTGTGAGGGAATCGGGGTGCTCTGTTGGGTCTCCTTTATAAGAGCACTAATTCCACCCATGAAGCTTCCACTCTTATGTCTAAGCACCTCCCAAAGTCTTCATCCCCTAATACCATCACATTGGGCATTAACATTTCCCCATATGAATTTTATAGGGGACACACACATTCAATCTATTGTAGCACTCATCCTTGGATGTAGCTTACTACACATAATACCATGGGGCTGGCCTGCTTTCCATTTTTTTCTCTCTCAACATTTTAAAAATGAAATATTTCTGTCCCTTCCACCCCAACCATTTATTCAGGTGATCCTATATTTTAGTATAGACTTATTATATTTATGTTATTCTATGAATATTAGTCTAAAATATAATTATTTACATTAATGTTCAAATTCTCTTATTCCTCACTTTTCTTCTTTCCCTCATTATTATAATTTTTATCCTTTATTTTATATAAACACACACACACACACACACACACACACACACATTTTCTGTTATAACTTCTTTGCTGAAGTTTTAAACCTGAAACTTGATCCCCTGCGATCATGACCTGAGCTGAAATCAAGAGTTAGATGCTCAACTGGTTGCCCAGTGCTCCTGTTTTTGTTTTTTTTTTGTTTTGTTTTTTAATTCTCTTTTTACCTTCTCTGCTTTTCCCACCATCTCTTTTCTGAGATGGGCTGCATTGTATTTATATCATTCTTTGAAAGTTTGTATTTCAATTGGTTTCTTTTAACTATTTTGAGATAGAGGGTTACAATTTTTATCTCCATCATGGCCACATTTTTCTGGCCTGCCTTTTTTGTTGGCTAATTTTGGTTTTTATGTCATGTTTGCAGAGGTTAGTTCATACTCTTTTCTTGTTACTTATGGTAGTTAGATGGGTGCCTTGGACCTCTAGATTCCTATGTAAGGGGCAGAACTTCAGGATTCAGAGCTCAGTGGTTCCCTTCTGACTATTAATGTGAACTCTCACAATACAGTCTTTGCTATGATCTATTCTGTCTCCAAATCTAAGGCTGTTTCAAAAACTTCTGCTAAATTTCTTTTCCTTATACATTTTTGTTTAGGATGGGCCAGAAGGGAGATTCTTGTGAGATGTGGATGGTTTTGGGAAGAAAGATGACTTCTTGTATCTGACACAGCTACAGCTACCAATCTCCTGACTTACCTTGTTGGCATGGAACATATTTTGGTCTGCAGTCATTCCACCTTTTCCTGAATACCTCTTCAGTGACTCTGACTCCTGAGACAGGTATGTGTGCTTAGCTCCATGATCAAAAGACACTAGAATTTACAGAATGCCCTATCACCAAGGACAAAGACCATTAGAATGGACATGGGTTTAGTTCATCCTCATGAAGTTCGAGCTTGTATTCTTGGGATTCTTTCCTGCTCATGATCTTCTCTTCTTGTCTCATGCCCTACCGGTTTCAAACACCAGCCTTTAGTTCTGAAACATGACCTTAAAGAGATCATTTAGCCAGCCAGAGCTGTGCAATTGCATAAGCCAATTTCCTGCATAAATTACACATCAAAATAACTCTGAATGGGTTTTCACTGACCAAATCTGAGAAATTTTGTACATTAAAATAATTAAGAGAGTAAAATAATATTCATGGAATAAAATGCTGCACACTTTCTATTGACCCTTTTGTAATTAATTTTAGGGACAAAGATAAATAAATGAATGAATATTATGCTCCCTTCAAATTACTTACTAATTCAAAGGGGCATAGGAATTACGTATTAGACAATGCTGGAAGGCATTGAATTTAAATAAGCAATCAAATAGTCCTATTTTATTCAGTGAATATCCTGTTGCTCTCTTCCTTAGTTTGATGTTCAAATTTTGCAGGTTTGGCCAATGGGAGGCCCTTGAAGCTGGATCCTGTGTCCTTTTGTTATGTTTCTCTCATACTTTTGTAATGTCTTAGCCATTTTCCAAGGATGCTTTATTCCTTCAGGTGGAGAGTATCTCAGATTAATTGTGTTCGCTGGTACTTGGGTGCATATATTTCTAGGGCCTTTCAGAGAACATGCAAAAAAGGTATAAACAGATAAATATAAATATATGAACACATATATATTCCTGTATTTACACAAATACCTATATTCTCATTCAACACCATACTTAATCTCCTAGATTGTTGTGTTTTATACTTTGGCTAAATAATAGTAAGAAACTGTGCAAAGATCAAGATAGAAATCTGAGTTGATTAATTGCTATAAATGTGTAATCTTAAAGTAGCATGATTTTTTGCTTTTACATTTTAAGATGATCATAGCTTATAGGAGTATACTTTATTGAAGAAGTACCTGGGGGGCTCAATTGATTAAGAAGCCGGTTCTTGGTTTTGGCTCAGGTCAGGATCTCCTTGTTCATGAGATCACCCCCTGCGTCAGGCTCTGCACTGACAGTATGAAGCTTCCTTGGGATCCTCTCTTTCCCTTTCTCTCTCTGCCCTTCCCTGGCTCTGTCCCACTCTCTCTCAAATAAACAACAGCAACAAAAAGAGTACAGCTTATTCAACTATTATTTTCTATCAAAAAAAAAAAAAACAAACAAACCCAAAAAACACATCCGTATCTTTCTTGCTCAAAAGAAGCAAGTACTTTATATTTTACAAATATGATAGAAATTATAGCCTGCTTAATCCTGTTTAATAAGTATGATTCTAAAGATGAACAACCCCAATAGAACTTGTGATTGGATCATACTTGGTTGACTGTATTTCACACTTCTAAGTAGACTATAAACATACATTAAATAATGAGTATCCTTCCAAAATAAATAGTGGTTCAGTGTTTAAATTTCCCTATGGTAATTCCTTTAAATGTATGTATTGTACAGATAAAACTCAGTGATTTAATTCTAGATGACTAATTAAGGTTCATGTGACTGTGGATCTGTTACTGGTAGACTGAGTGATGTATTGGGCTGGGCAGCTCTGATAATTTGAGATTGGATTTCTCACACATCTGTGATTTTGTCAGAGATCAGTGATGTAGGCTGGCTGGGCTAGGCTGGGTTCCCTATGACTCTCTTCACAGAACAATGACATAGTTAAGGGGGAAGCAAAAACACATCAAGACTTTTCTTTAAATGTTTTTTTTGAGGGAGGGCAGAGAGAGGGAGAGGGCAGAGAGAGGGAGACATAGAATTGGAAGCAAGTTCCAGGCTCTGAGCTGTCAGCACAAAGCCTGATGTGGGGCTTTGAACCATGAGGTCATGACCTAAGCAAAAGTCCCTACTTAACTGACTGGGCCACCCAGGTGCCCCAAAGCACATCAAGACTCTTAAGGTCTAGCCTCAATATGGGCACACAATCACCTCTACCTGATTTATTATCCAAATTAAGTTCATATATCTGTATCCAAATGAAGGGGCAGAGAAATATACTCTATCTCTTTAGTGAAAGGAACCACAAAATTACATTGCAAAGACTATGAACACAAGAAGGAAAGAAGAATGGGGTCAATAATTCACTTAAGACCTTGTTGTTTTTTGGTGGATCTCCCTGAAGGGTTTATTGGAAATTCAGAATTCTGGTTGGTATGTATATTAAATGTAGAGAAGAGCTGATCTAAGAATATAACTACAATGTCACTTGACTCACTCTCTCCTTCATTTAGACTTGTTTCTCTAATTCTGCAAATATGCACTGGGCCCAGATCCTTTGTTGTCACTGTTTGCACATCTAGAACATTTTTTATGTATCTATATAGCTTACTATGTCTTCTACTTTAAGACTTTGCTCAGTTGTCACCTTATTTAAAAAACATCCAGAATAACTTAAAGTAGAAGGACATCTCTATGCCATCATTTCCTTCCTCCTATCATTATTTTTTTCCACCACGGCACTTATTAACACCTAAATTTTACATGTATTTTGGCTTAATTTTAGTCTATATTCATTAGAATAAATGTACTAATAAAGCAGGGGATTTTGTGGGTTTTTTTCACTATTGAATCCCTGATATCTAGAATAATCTTGGCATTTAATATGTGCTCAATAAATGTTAGTGAGTAAGAAATAAATTGAAATAAATATTTATGTAGAGTTAATTTTTAATTGAAAAATATTTATTTTCAAACTTAATAGTATATCAGGATTTTATTTGGCTATAAGTTATAGAGATACACTTGCCTTCTCAGAAATGGCTTAAGCAACATATAGTTTTATCTTCCTTTCTCATAAAAGAAGTTCATATTTTATCAGTTCAGGGCTACTGTGGTGGCTTCATAACATAACCATTGCCTCAGGGTCCTAATTTTCATCTCTTACCATTTTTTAATCCTGATTCATGTTCTTAGTTTTGCATCCTGCTTTGAAATGTTCCAAGCAGTTCTAATCATAATGAATGGTTTCTAGGTGGGAAGAAGAGGAGAAAGAGGTACAAAATTATTTGTGAACTGGTTCAAGTAATTTTAGGGTATTCCCTAAAATCCATTCCTATAATCCCCATTAGTGTTAATGGCCAGGGCTAGGATTTATCATCATATGGCCATTTCTTACTTTTTTGGGAAATAGAGTCTTTGGACATTTTGCCACCTCCAACTAGTTATGGTTATATTTATAACCACAGAAGAGGCTCTTCTATTGTATTTTACATAAAAATGAATGCACTTTTATGTTAAATATGCTTTTAAAAATTTTGTTTATTTACTTTGAGAAAAAGAGACAGAGACAGACAGAGAGAGAAAGGGAGAGTGGGGAAGGGCAGAGACAGAGGGAAAGAGAATCACAAGCAGGTTCCACACTGTCAGCACAGAGCCTGACATGGGGTTCGAACCCATGAACTGCGGGATCATGACCTGAGGCAAACTCAAGAGTTGTATGCTCAACTGACTAAACCACCCAGGAGTCCCTAAATTTTTTTTTAATGACGAATAAGAATAAAAACTTGACTTCCAGTAACAACATTTGTAGTCCAAAGAAATTGATTAATACCAATAGACATATATATTGTTCTTCAAAACTTCATGTCATAATTTTATAAATTATATAGTTTTTCATTTCTTTCAATTGAATACACTTTTTGGCATATCTAGAAAAATTTTTTAAATGTAAAAGTTTTGACAACATTGATATTTGGTAATTTAATTACTAGGAAGTTATATGTAGTAATTTTAAAGGTCTGTTTTCTGAAATCCTTATTCAGCAGAAATACATGTGATTTTCATACCTCTTTAATAAAGACTTGGCTCTTTCAGGTAAACAGGGTCCTGAACCATGATGTTACTCAAGTACTGAAATTACATAACAAAACAAACTTGCTAATGTTGTTGTTAACCATATTTGATTTCCTCATTCTTCTAGAATATTTCATGGTGCTCATTTAGAACTATGAAGTTAAGGAAACTGGATCTCTGTAAGTTTTCCAAATTTTCCTCTTAGAAGAAAGCCTCATCCATTCAGAGTAGAAGGCGCTAGCTCATGTAAGTAATCATGTAATAATAGCTGCTTCCATGGAAATGTAACAGTGGCAAAATTGATGCATCACTTGCTAGCCACTTATTTTTGTCTACCCCAATTTCCACTAGGGGCTGTATTGTCATGTTTGTAGTCAGTACTTGCACCAGATCACTGTTAACTACAAGAACAGAAATATCAGCTCTTTTTTTTTTCCTCCCACAAATAAGAGTATGAATTAAGCTAGACTCAAATAGAATAAAAATCAGAGAATATTTTTTTCTTTTCACTGAAGACTTTTCTTGGCTGAACATTTCAGCAAAGTTCACTGAGGTTTTCTTTTTGTTCATTAGTAGCTGGATAGAGTTTGATAATGGTGATCCAAGGATAGCTAAGAATCTAACTTTGAGTCTAGATCTCGGGTTAGAGATTTGTGACAGCCCCAAACAAAGCAAAGACATGTATCAGCTCAGCTTCCTTCTTTCTTTCTTTTCTTTGCACATTGTTCTTCTGTCACAGCAAGTCACAAAAGTCACAGTCACTCCTACTTTCATTCTTTCAGTTCTCAGACAAATGTCTCTTAGTTCCTGTAACACTTCAGCTTAGTGCCCAGTCAGGCTTGCCCCATCTGGTCTTTGGATCCACACTCCTGTCTTTTTTATTTTATTTTATTTTATTTTATTTTATTTTATTTTATTTTATTTTATTTATTTTTATTTTTATTTTTATTTTATTTTTTGCCCAGTATATATTCGATTCCTGCAGGAGCTATGTCTAATAACTTCTATAAATTAGAAGGGGCACAGCCTTGAAAGAAAGCTGTTCTTATCCTATGCAC